ACCTGTTGAAATGTCCTGGGCAGGGTGAGGCCCCGTTGTCCCCTTGCTGTCCCCTCTCTGGAAACAGGACTCTGGGCCAGGCAGTGAGGGTAGGGAGGCCAAGGAAGCAGCTCCCAGCTCCCTGAGGGCTGCTGGACACAGGGCTAGGGTGGCACCTGACAGTGCGTGCTGCCTCGTTAAAGAAGGCCCTGCTTCCTGCGGATCAGTACACGGTTATCCTTGTCTGCAGAAATCCTGATAGTGCGGGACCAACCCACACGCGGGGAAGAAGACCGAGTAGCCTGGAAACCAGGTTAGGAAGCTCTGTCTCCCTGGCAACCAAGGCAAGTGGAAAGAGCCAGGCCTCAGCCACTTCTGTTCCCCAAGGGCTGCCCTCTCATCTCATGTTCTGGACATCCTGGCTCCCTTCGCACTCCCCACCCCAGGTCATACACAAGCCAGGTCTCTCTCACCTGTATCATCTTTTGCTCTGTAGCAAACTGCCCAAAATTAAAGGTCTAAAACCTTATTTATTCTCAGATTCTGGGGGTAAGAATTTAGGCAGGGCTCTGTGGGGGCCTTTTGCTCCTGCTCTCTCATGAGGTTGCACTGGAAGACAGGCTGGAGCTGGGGGCCTGGGCTGGGCTGGGGCCTGGGCGGGGGCTGTGGGCTGTGGGCTGTGGGCCATGAACTGTGGGCCGTGGGCTGGTCTGGGACTGGGCTGTGGCTGTGGGCTGTGGGCCATGAACTGTGGGCTGGGGGCTGGTCTGGGACTGGGCTGTGGCTGTGGGCTTGCCTGCAGGCTTTGCCCGGGAGACTTGCTTCAGAGCTCACTTGTGAGATTGCTTCCAGCTCTGTCCCTTGTCACCAGGGCTGCCTTCCAGCATGGCAACCGGCCATCCGCAGGATGAGGGATCTAGAGAAAGCCCAAGTCAGAAGCCGCAGTCGTTATAAACCAGTAGAAGTGTTGCCCGAACCTCTGGGCTGAGAACCGTTCCGGGAGCCCAGCCTGTGCTCGAGGGGAGGGAGAGAGACGTGATGAGAACAGCAGCACTGCGGCCGTAGGGCCTCCAAGCCAGCACGCCCCGCTGCCAGCCGACACGCTAAAACCTGGGCCTGGCAAGGACCTTTTGAGTCTCTGAACAGAGCTTTGACAAGTATTTCTACCCCAGAAGCGGACTGGCCATGATCAGCAGATCCCCATTGAGTGTCACCCACAGCCACCCCCTCTGTGCACACAAGGGACCAAAAGGGACTGAGGCTGGCCCTGCGCTGTCACCAGGAGTAGACTGTCCTGCCCTCCCGCCCCATGGAGAAGGTGGCACGCGACCTGAAACCAGAAAGCCTGGTACAGGCACGGCCGGGTCTGGACACTGCCTGCCTCAGACGCCCTGGGGTCTCAGGTTCAGGCCTGTCTCCTTCCACAGCCCCCAGCTGCCCCATACCTCCCGCAGGCCTCTCCGTGCCTAGTAGCTCGTCCTCTGCGAGGACCCACAGCAGCACCAAGATTGGACCTTGGTGCGTGGGTGCTGGCTCAGCCAGGGCTGCTCCCGGCAGGTGGGCCTGGGCTCTGCTGCCTTGTCGGGGCTCCCGAGCTCTCTTACTGTCTGTGGTCCTGAGGACCTGAAAGGCCCTGCGATGAGCCTGGGACTCACTGCCCCGGGATTCTGTTACTCTCAGCTCCTCGGTCTGCGAACACTCAGGCCCTCAGAGGTGTGCTGGGCCCTCCTCGGTCCGCGAACACTCAGGCCCGCAGAGGTGTGCTGGAGGCTCCCACAAGTCAGGGCCGACATACTCACTGTCTGCGCCCCTCCTTGTGCTCACTCCTCCCAGGTGGTGAGGAGAGGTGGACAGGCACACGGGCCATGCCACCTGGTCACTGTGACCTGAGCGGAGCACGGCATCCAGGCTCGGCCCACCTGCAGAGGGCCTGGGTGCTCAGAACCGACCGCCCGTATGTGCTCAGTGACAGCGGTGGCTGCCATGGCTTGCAGAGGGGCACCTGTGACAGTCGTTTCTCCAGCGCAGGGCTTAGGAGGGCAGAGACCACGACCGCCCCTCAGCTGTGCTACAAGGCCTTGGGGCTGTGGAGCAGCAGTGGGCTGGCCACAAACACGTGTGACAAATGAACGGAGTCTGGTCGGGGAGGAAGTGGTGGGCAGACGGAGTCCAGGCCGGTCGCAGGTGCAGAGGCTGAGGCTGAGTTCTTCTTCTTCTTTCTTTCTTTGGAGAGTTTTTTTTGCTATAGGGCATGTGCACTGGTCAGACACACAAGAGAGACAGACAGAAAGCAAGACAGACACCCCCCCC